TAAACCCCTTTGCACACCTCGGCTATGCATATGAAACTGTTACAGGAGGCTTCTCTCGGCCGGAACTGCCGTCGCCGTGAAGCAGCCCCTCACTCATGACTGCCCATACGAAACCCTGAAGCCCCAAACCGTAATGCGCCGCTTCTGCTCCACAAACTGATGCCTGAGCCTAGTCGGTTCGGTTGGGCTTCAGGAAGAGCAGGTCCAGGGGCCTCTGCCTTGGCAAGCTCCGGGCGACTTCTTCTTTGAGAATATGGAACAGGGTTGCGGTTTAGGGTTTAGGGTTTTTTTTTCCCTCTCGCATGGCTGAGGATCTAGGGTTTAGGGTTTAGGGCAAAAAGGTTTTGCATGGATTTCTGCCTCCCCTGTAGCTGACTTTTGTTTTGGGGGGTTTGCCTACGGGCTGTGCGCATAGGCAAGGACTGCATCGATGCTCTGAGTCAGAGACGAGGCGAATACTGGCTGCCGTATGAGCTACTCACGGACAAGTGCACACCTGAATTCTGCTAGCCCAGCGCGTGCCGTCCACTTCGTTCGAGCGGTTAGTGTTTAGATGCTTTTTGGGGCCCGAAGGGTGGTGGGGGCAGCACTGGATTTTCATAAATCACCCAATCTCAGCGTAGTAAGAGTTTCTGACAATTTTCAGGACAAGATGTGTCGCAAGTCATATAGGGGCCTGAATGGTTTGCTATACTAGTTTGTGGGGTTTTTACAATAATTATGGTATAGCATACCACAAAACCCTATTCAAATTCTAATTATTATGTAAGGCCCCTTACAGTAGCAGGAACATCAAAAAAGAAAGCCAAGCTGCCGCATCACATCGAAGAAATCTTCAGCCTTGCAACATCCGTGCATTTCGTAGTTCTCTGAATTAGGTTCCCTTTAATTAAGGGGTCCTTAAAGGCTTATAGGGCTCTACATGGCTAACAAAACCCCCGCAAAAAGCGCTGCATCTGGGGCGATGCCACTGCAGATTTTGAGGGTTCAAGAGTCCAGCTGTCCTGGACGATGCGCAATCAAGTATACACGTGTGTGAAGCTGCTGAGCCCAACAGTGGCTCTGCACTCACGCCTGTACGACTACAGGTGCTCATCCTGCCTAGAAAAGAGAATCCGGACACCACGCGACTTGACCCTGCAACTCGAGACATCTGGGAGAAAAACAGAACCACAATCAAGGCCAGCAAACTTCACTTGTAGCTGTAGCTTTGACTAGCAGATCCTGGCATCATGCCCACGAAAGCCGAGACCGTCCCGTCGTGCATGGAGTAAACCTACTCAGCATGAGCACCCGGTGCCGTGAGCACATCTTTGCAACATCTGCGGGTTTTCGAATGGAAAGCCGTCAGACGCAGCAAGTGGCATAAAGCCAGCCACGCAGCTAGCCGGCACGTTTGACACTGCTGGCAAACTAATGGCCTCGATCTCGCCCGTGTGGATGCCATTGATGCAGAGTAGACGGCTTCCCTGCAGCAGGACAGCGCGGGACATGATGACACGACAGCTTTGGGTTGTCTTGAGAAGAAGCCAACTCAGTGTTGCCTGCCGAGAAGGCACAACACTCATGAACACCACCCCGGACAGCCCGCAACCGCCGATGACCTACATGTTCCGTAACCGGCAACATCAGCATCCCTGAACGCAGATGCTAAATAATTAGCAACAAATTCCATCAAATGCTCTAGCTTCCCGCCTGTTTCCCAACAACGGATATGTTGTTGGCCTGTTACTGTTGGAAGGCTTGCTGACAATTGAGCCGCCGAGATGAAGGCCATTACTTAGGTGACAAGTGAAACACTGCTGGCAATCCAACTGCAAAGCCATCCTATCACAGGAGATAGGGGCCTTAATGATTAGAATAAGGTTTTGGGGTATATTCTACTAACTATTTACGCCTCTCTTCTTCTTCTTCCCCAGGGCATGAGGGGTCTGTTAAACCCCCCGGCCAGTTGGCCCCCCAATTGTTATTGGGGCTTTCGGAGGGTGTGAAAGATGCTTTTGAATTGCTGAAACAGCGCGATTGGGGTGTTTTGACCAACAACCAGCTTACTACGTAACAAGGAGTCCCCCGAGGCACTGTTTCAGATTTGCAGTTGACAGTTCTTGTTGGGACACCTCGACGTCACTGCGGTTGTCCTTTGTTAAATGTTGACCTAACACAAACCACAACACTTCTCCGCATGGACGTCCAACTGAATTCGTTACTTGGCGGAGTGTCCCCCGGAGCACGTCTTAGCCACAGAAAACAAGAACCAACCGACGAGAGCCAATTCATACAGATGCATGACACGCCTCTCTCTCTCTCTCTCTCTCTATGTATATATATATATATACATACATACATACATACATACATACGTACATACATACATACATACATACAATGGCATATAGCCCCGACCATGGTCGCATCGTATCCTCGATTTTGTCTCAGCTCTCTAATTACGTCCGGAAGCCTCCTGAAATGGGGGACCTTTTTGAGTGGCAAGCCCATGGAGCCTTCGGGAGTCGTAGTGCTTCAGCTGGAGTTCCGGCAGTAATCTTTTCCACGACCAGGTGCCTGGGGAACGGCAGTGCGTGCAGTAGAAGATGCTCCTTGTTGAATACTTCTGGCTGAACTTCACCTCTTGATATGCGATGCAAAAGACATGCCTCTGCACTATCTGATAAGCTTCACGAGCTTTCTCAGCCCTGCGTGGCGACCACACACTTTTGCAGCACCATACCAAATGGAAAGAAGCAATCCGCCGACAGGCTAAAGTCATCCTCATGTTGCTGCCCATTGACCCAGCCGGGGGTAAGATCTTGAAGGCGATGCCTCCACAAGGTGAGTTCAGAAACGGAGCTTAATTGTGGGAACCTGCTAGCTGATAGGTTGAAGTCAAGCTCTAACTTGCACAGGCCGGGACAGAGCAAATATTCAGGATGGCTACATGGTGATACATGCCTGCCTGCATCCAGAATCCAGAGCACAGAGGTTACAGCATCCCTGCATTCATGTCCCTGTACACGATCCCCATTGCAAACAGTGGCCTATCTTCTCTTCATCGCGGCCAACACGAAACTCCACGACCCCCGTGTCCTCGCTGTACCCCGCATCCTGCAGCTGACCATATGAAGGACCCCGGGCATGGGTGCATGTCTCTGCTAGGGCTATAGGGTTTACGAACGTGTGTCGATGGTAGGGTCTCTAGGCTTGAGTACTTTAGACTCTGATACACACGGGCGTCGGCAAGGGGATAAGGCCTCCCGGGTTGCACATCCGCTGGTGCCAGCATTGGACAGACTTGGAGAACGTATGTACAACCTATGGACCTATGGGCAAATGCATGCAAACAATCCACGTGGCGGTGTCGGCTGCGACATCTTAACAGCGTTGGGCCACTAAGTCTTGTTTTGGAGCGCAGTCCAAGAAACGGTCTCTGGTCTCTCAAACCTACCAATAAACGTCGATGTCCTTGGCCCGCTGCAGCAAGTGGGCCGGCAATGCCTCGGTGCATGCAGATCTTGGTACGACCCGGACCTCCGGTGGGCTTGTCGTCGTCTGTGCTGAATTACCGGAGGAAGCAACGGAGTCCGGCTCCAGGCTACTAACATCACATCGATGGGGAAACTGATGGTAAAAGGTTGAAGGCTTCGGAGAGAGGTGCAGCCCCAGCACTGCAGGTCTAGGGAAGTTATCCTTTAGAATCGGCACATGCACGGGTATGCAATGCCTAAAATGTCTGTAAGCCTTGAACTAAGAGTAGTAAGCGCAAAATCGCAGTGAAAACCTAAGCAGCCAAAGCCGAACCAGTAAAGAATCCAGATGCTGTGCCCGAGCTGCGACAGGACGAATGATGCTGCCTCTCTTTTGCCGAGGCGTACCCCAGTTGGCCGGCATGGGGACGTCCTGGCTGCACACCCGCAACAGGTAGCCACAACCAAAATCTTTCATCGTATATCATAGTAGCAACTGCTACCGCGACTACTGTCTCTTACTTTGAGAGCCAGTACTTTGATCCCTGGCTTCTGATTGACCTATTGTTGAGTACTGTATCTTAGATCGGATTATCGTATGCGCGATCGTATGTTGTGGCCATTGCAAAACGCAAAGAATTGTACAGTACAGTATAATGAGGTATAGTATACCATAAGTATAGTCTCGTCTAATCTAGTCTAGTCTAGTCTCGGATAGTACCGTGAGTATACACAGGAGAGTAGAGCAGAGCATGGTGTAGTGAATTATTGCATACTTGAGGATGTCTACATACATATGTATATATATATATACATATATATATATATATCTGTGTGTGTGCGTGTGTGTGTGTGTATATATATGTATATATAGTTGATTTAACTATTAAGCTAATGATGTGTGTGCTCTGACCCGAGCCTCGTCAGAGCTGGAGTCGTCGGATTCAACGCACTTCCTTGCATCACAGGCTTGCACACAAGGGTTACTATAGCAGTTGCTTTGGGGGTTTTGCGAGGACTTCTTTGTGCGGGGGCGGATTTTTTCTCACAGCCCGCCAATCCGGGCGAGGCGGGTTGAGGATTTCGGAGCCGTGCAAGTCGGCAACCACACTTCCTTCTGGGATGGCTGTCTGGACTGTCATCTATGCCGCCTCCCTCCGGGCCGAAGTACCTTTCCTTGACCTGGCGGTGGCATCTTTGGCGCAGGACTTCCTGACTTCCAGTCCCAACACACCGCCAACTGTCTTGGCTTAGTTCGGGATGGGGGGTTGCAGTCGAGGGACTTGGGCTGCTGTGCTGTGAGAAAATCCTCGCACGTGGACCTGGGTTCCACAGTTCCAGGGGCACTCGGGCACGAAGAGCCTGTCTGAGGGCAAATTCCCTTGATCTTCTTGGCGGATGAGCCCGAACATGCTGAGTCAGGAACATGTACAAAGGATCCGTCAGCCACAGAAGTTCCTCTGACTCTCGATGCTCTCTTCAACCCCTCATCCTGCCTGTCGTCAAAAAATTGCCCCACTCGCCAAGCTCATGAGACGCTCACACCTCTTTCATGCTGGCGCTTACACCGAGTTGCAGCTCCACTCCCTTCGCGGGGCCGCCCTCAGGGCGCCCATCTGGCCTGTTCGAGCGCTGATTTCTGGGGACCATGAAGGAACCCCAACTGCCTAAACGCTAGTAGTAATAAAGTCGCCCTTATACTAGCCGCAGCCCATAAGGAACCCTGAAAAGGCACACGCAATCCTACAGTACATGTGCTGGACGAAGCTTAGTAGACAAATACTGGGGGCATTTAGACTTACACTTCGCTTCGCGGCAGGGCCATGACATATTTATGTCAACGGCCCAGACCGGAATCTGCTGTTTGCGGCCCTAGCGTCTTGGTGGAGAGGCTGCCGCCAGTCTCTTCTGCAGCTGCCGTCGTTTTGGCCACGTCGATGTGCGGAGGCGCGAAGTCCAAGCGAGCAGGTGCGGGGCTAGCTCCAGGATCCCCTTCGGCAGATTGCTCCCCAACTTCTCCGAATAGTGGACTCTCCAGCGTCACATCTTCCATTCCCAGTGAGTCGAGGTGGACTCTGGCTGATTTGCAGGATGCGCTTTCAAAGCTTCGCGGCTTGTCGAGACTCTGCGCCCGGGGTGTCTCCGAAGTTGCGCTGACAGCTCCATCTTTGACAGTTTCGTCCCAATCAGTCGAGCCAACTGCCACAGCATCCGGCTCGTCTTCGACCCATGTTGACGGGGTCTCACTCTGAGACCGGCCAGTTTCGGCGTTGGGAGCGCCAGCTTCCATGGCATCCTCTGGGCAGAGAGTGCTCTTCTTTAGCAGAAGCAGGATGAATGGGAGGATCAAGCGGGAGGAATAAGTCGCTCTACCCTTGGCACAAGTCTGCCGAAACTTTCAGACATATCGACACCATACCTGGACTGGAAATGCCTTGCCTGGCCAACCTGGCGCCAATCTGCATCAGGTTCTGCCGGCAGCAAACGCTGCAGACTGTCGCATTCCTTGGCTGAGACTACGCTGCTTCTTCGTCTTTGGCTTCAACATGTCCTATTACATCCATCCTGGGTTGCTATGCCCGGCTTGACCCCACGGCATGACAAGAAAACCCGACAGCCTGCCAGACGTGCCAGGCAACCGACGTCTGCTTGAAGGAACCGGGCGCAGGACGGTCGTTGGACCTGCTGTCCACCCAAGAACGGGAGCTTCGTGATATCATGCTTCTTGAAAGTCTTTAGAGCAATGTGTACAGCTTCTGTAGTAAAATCCTGCAGCGCACCGGCACCCACTTGAGCAAGCCGTTCAAAACCAAGACTTCACGCAGCGGGCAAGTCATGGGAAAACCTAAGTACCTGGCCAAACTGTCTGTCCAAGCGTCTCGGTGGAGATGCCGCCAGTCTCTTCTGCAGCTGCCGCGGTTTTGGCCACGTCGCTGTGCGGAGGCGCGAAGTCCAAGCGAGCAGGTGCGGGGCTAGCTCCAGGATCCCCTTCGGCAGATTGCTCCCCAACTTCTCCGAATAGCGGACTCTCCAGCGTCACATCTTCCATTCCCAATGAGTCGAGGTGGACTCCGGCAGATTTGCAGGATGCGCTTTCAAAGCTTCGCGGCTTGTCGAGACTCTGCGCCCGGGGCGTGTCCGAAGTTGTGCTGACAGCTCCATCTTTGACAGTTTCGTCCCAATCAGTCGAGCCAACTGCCACAGCATCCGGCTCGTCTTCGACCCACGTTGACGGGGTCTCACTCGGCTTAACGCTAGGCTCCTCGGCACTTTTCGATCTATCTTTTTCTGCATAAGCAGAACCGGTTGCCGTTTGGGACTCGTCCACCAACACGAACTTGTCAATGAGCTTTGGAATTAACAACGGACAAATGATTCTTCCTCCTAGTGAATCCTGAATCTTCAGCCAGTGTCACAGTACTTACAGCCATACATTTCCAGTATAAAGAACTATGCAGCATGGCGTGGTGACCGTGGTGTGTGTGTGTGTGTCTCTGTGTCTCTGTGTGTCTCTGTGTGTCTGTGTGTGTCTGTGTCTGTCTGTGTCTGTCTCTGTGTGTGTGTGTGCGTGCGTGCACGTGCTTACGCTGCTCCTATACATACAAGTGGAACGAGCACCGTCTGTTTGTAGGCAAGAAACGCCGTAACAAGTAGCTACTATCCTGTCTGCCGCCGAACAATCCAACAAATGTAAAAAGCATGCTGCTGCATTCTTGCAGAAGTCTGTGGTGGGCATCGCCTCGTTCTTGAATTCCGAAATGCAGGGGTCTTCTTTGGAGCTTTGGTCGCCTGGCACCACCACAGCAGACGGTACCAGTCAGTACCACACCCAAAATCCGAAGATCCGTCAACGTTGCTGAACATCATGGTCGTTTCACTTCTGCCCATAGGCCCCTAAGTAGTTCCTCTTTATGGTTCATATTTTTTGGAATCCCATAAGGTAATCCCAAAACGGAACTACTTCGGGGCCTATGGGTAGACTCTCGAGACCACTAGCCCGGCCAAGTCTACACGTGCGGCGCAAGAACAAAATTCCAGTGCCTGGTGCCTCGCACGGGTCTGCATCATCAAGTGTTGGATCCTCCCAGGGCTGCTGCTTCAATTTAGGGTATCGGGTTGGATCTTGTAGCCTTTATGATCCCCCCCCCCCCCAGTGATCGAAGCAGACACGAAAGCTGCCGCAAAGGAGGTGCTGCTCACTGCCATGCAACCCACCTCTGCCAAAACTGTCGCTCTCCCCAAGTTCAAAAGCCTTCACATGCCCGCCCAATACTCCCTTTTTTTCCAAACCCTGAAGCCCGTTCCGCCACCAAGTCCAAGCCAGACCAGCTGTCTGCACCCGCCGTTGGCTCGGCTGCCTGGTTTAATGCGAGGCCCTACAGAGCCCCACCGCGCTTCATCCTTAGATACTTGGAGGCCTACATATGCTGGCTTAAGTTACATTCCTTGTTAAGGGATCTTGGGCTCTCTTAAGGGATCCTGGGCTCTCTGGAGGCATCGAAACATAGACGAAACCACAACCCACCGGAACGGAAGTCTTCTTGAATACTCGCGTGTGCACAGCACACAGCACTGCATGTCTGCCCAACGGGTATTTGACGAGTCGTGCAAATCCAACGCGTGTGAAGGTGAGCCCGTCTTAGCTACAGCTAGCTAGGTGTAGGGTGTTCTTCATTAGAGTCAGGCCCCGAGTCGCCAGAAATACCGAAATCCAGCAAATGGGTTCCTCAACAAGCTTAAATACAAGCTTGAATAGATGGGTTGCGAAGACTGCTACGACATGCACCTACAAAGCGAGCTCGTTCCCGCGTCACGGACGTCAGCAAAGAGCAAGCGAAGACAACCATAACTGCTCCCACCCCCAACCTCCAATGTGCTGCGACGTGAGCATGTCGCAGAACTGTCTCGTCCTCCTGATGCAAGCTGTTGAATCGGCGAGGGGAAATCGACCCTGCTTACAACTCGCTACCTCCGATTTCGTGCATCTGTCTTTCAGAATTCCGGAAGGCCCGGCAGGCCCTACTTCTGGTTCAGGAAGGTGAGTGTTCCCAAGCTTCTGCCATTGCCCCCCTGGCCGGCTTATATCCGGCATCCTCTACACCTCTACATCTCTACAGGGGCCTTAGCAGATTAGAGTTCGGGGCTGTGTCGAAGGTCGTAGAAGGGACACTACACACTATCTTTGCCGACCCCCATTACACACTTCGGCTCTTTGGAGCCTGACCTCTCGGATTGTGATTCCACCAAGCTGGAGAAGGAATGTTTTCAGCCAAAACAATTTTGAATTTCTCCTTAATTGGGTCTATGCTTTGGAGCTCTACTCTTAACAGTCAGCCATTTTCTGAAACTCCTGTATACCAAGCAGCCTTTGCACCCGTCATCCGTTGACGAAATCGCCCAGGGGTTGCGGAAGAGGTTCCCCGATTCCCAGTGATCGCGCAGAGCCTTCAACAGCAATGGAAGCTTTCAGCCTGTCTATTACCCATAGGCCCCTAAGCAGTTCCTCTTTATGGTTCATATTTAGAATCCCATAAGGTAATCCCAAAAAGGAACTACTACTTAGGGGTCTATGGGTATTAGACGTGTCAACGTCTGCTCGTGCAACCACTCAAGGACTGCTACTGGACGAGCTGCAAGTTGTAGACGACACTCGAACCGCAACAGAAGTGAACCTAACATCCTCACTGACAGTCACCATAAGCGTGTACGACCTCCAAGTTACCAGCGGGAATACAAGACTCGATGCTTCTGTGCATGGCCGTTCATGGCGGCCTGGCAATCCTATCATGACACTTGATGGTCACTATCTGAGTGTTGACTGCCTGCCGAATCGATGTAAGCATGTACGAATACACAGGTATTTTCCCACACCCTGCACTATCCAGCGTGACTCCTGATTGACTGGCCTGCCAGCTTTGGTGGAACGAGGAGACTGACTGCCCCAGTTCACCTCACTTCTGCACAAATTGTGGGTTGGTTCGCCAAAACCAAGCAAGGCCGGGAGCGAACACACTCAGATGCTGTCTTTTCCGGCATCGAACAGAACTCAATCTAAGTGAATTCCGCTCCTGTTCTACACGGGCTCCACGAAGGAACGACCCTCAGAAAAGCACTGTAGCTCCAGAAGCCAGCACAGGGACGTGCAACCTGGTCGGGTGTTTAAGGCATCGTGTCGCTAAAAGCCCCAAATCAAGGTCTGAGAGTAGGCCAAGTCTTGACTAAGAGTCAGCAAAGGTCAATATGTGCGCTGTGGGCAATCACCCTCAGTTCACCCGTCGACCGTTTCCGCATGAAGAAGCGTAAAGATAATCGGCATGTGCTTGGAATTACCAGACTCAACACCAAGGCTGCGAGCATCATCACAAGTGGCAGGATATGAGCATTGAGCTGGAGACTGGCTTTAATTACAGCTTGGTTCTCGGACTTCGGGCTTACAGCTGGGCAGAGGTGGTGCTCACAACTTCGGAAAAGCTTGCCTGTGAGTCTGAAGGCAAATGAGCGCATGCTGTCCTTCTGAGGGCCGGGTCTCGGGACTTTCGAACTTTCTTTCAAGGCTTCAAGTTCGGTCCTCTTCCGCAGAAAGATGATCATAGATGGCGTGGTCAGAGGCTTGAGTTTGAGACGGGCTTCCGCAGCTTGATTATGTACGTTTACGGTTTCTACGACCCTCACGTCACCAATCGCGCTACTGCGCAGACATCGTCTGCAGAAAGATATGCGGGGTGTGCTTCAAGTTCTGGAAAACCCAGGCTTCCAGAAGCATCATAGATCTGATGGAATGGTATGCGCGTGCGTTCGAGATTGACGAGGCAAGTTTGCCCCTACTCCAGCCAAGGAAGAAGTGACCCTTACGGATCTTACGGCTGGGCACGCAGGTGGTGCTCACAACTTCGGAACATTCGCCTGCGAGGCTGGGCTCGCAGATGACCGCGCGCCGTCCTCTGCGAGCCCTCAGAAAGATCAGTGGCATGTGCTTCAAGCTTTAAAAATCCAAATTCAATCATGTGAGCAGCATCCCAGATCTGTGGCATGGTGTGAGGCTTGAGTTTGAGATTGATGAGGAAAGTTTGCCCCTTCCTCAGCTATACTATAGCTTTCGATAGAACAGGAAGTGAACCTTACGGATGGGCAAGAAGGTGGTGCTCACAACTTCGGAACATTCGCCTGCGAGTCTGGCTCGCAAGTGACTGCGCGCTGTTCTTCTGCTAGATCGGTCTCGGCGCTTGCGATTGGAACTCGGCGTCTCTACTGTTGATGATACAAATCCTCTATTAAATTCAGGACCCTAAACTATACTATGGGAATTATGGTATATTCCTTATTATGGGCAATGCAGCATTTATATCATCAACCGTATCATCTCCAGTTCACAGTTCTCGCCGCTGCGCGGACCTCTTCTGCAGATAGGTGAGCGGCATGTGCTTCAAATCTTAAACACCGTGGCAAGGATGCCACATATGCCACATGATGCCATGATGTGAGACCTGCTTGACATTGGCTTTTTGCAGATTGATTCTGCAAAACTTCATGCTTGGAGAACATCTCTCACACCCAACAAGCGATTTCATGTCAAACAGGCTTCAGCCAGAAGCTGCAAGTTTAGAATGCCAGACATGGCTTCGAGAGGTTCAGAACAACTCAACTCCTTGAGCTGGTATGCGGAGTTGTACTGCGGCGTAGTAGTAGGGCATCACACCGGTTCGGAAAACTCGCACAGTTGGAAGGCTCAAATGTCTACAGGCATCTCAATAATCAAGTATTTCCGACAGGGGGATTGCGACACTCCCGGTGTCAGCGCCGAAAATACCAGGTCCTGGCCAAGGTCGCCGTTCAAACAGCAAACGCCTAAACTCTGTCCATCACTATTCCCTTAAACGAAGGGCCTGCTGAAGTCACACGAAGGCGTTAAAAGGGGGAACGGAGACCTTGTCTGGGAAGCAGACAGTTCCAGGAGAAAAATCTCCTGCCCGGATCCTGCTCCGAGAGCAAACCCCTTGAAAGATGGATTCGGCGCTCACCGTCATCCCCAAAAACCCTAGGCCCTAAACTCGTCGATGCTTCCATGCCTTTCGGGTTCAAGGCCAAAGTGCTGGCGTTTCAGGCTGGAGGCTGCGGGTTTATGGCGGTCTGGTGAGCTGCCATGAGATGCAGCGCTACGCCGCTAGGAATATCCACCAACACTGAAAGATGAAGTAAGTATCTTTCTCGTTGATGTTGGTTACCACGGCAACTAGTCAAGGCGCCGGAGTGGTCAACTTTAGAATATTGAACTGGTCCTGGATAGAGCGATGCAGCTGGGGGCTGAGGTCACCAATCACTTGGTTGCCGAGCAAGACACTTGTAGGCAGAGCGGACAGCTGTGTCTGGAGGGAGCGCACATCCGCGGCTGCCTGCTGGTCTGCAATGGCCCACGCGTCTTCAATCACATCGCGCAGAGCTTGAATAGAAGGAAGCTCGTGCGGCATTGTGGCCGCCTTGACCTCTAAGCAGTTGCGCAAAAGGAGCAACTTGCTTGGAACGGTCAATCGATGCAATTTCTCCCGAAGACGCTTGGTCGGGCGAAACGTGCCGTGATGCTCTGCATGATGGCAGTAGAGACAATCCCAACCAGCTTGACAGTTCCCACGTGCGAAGAGCACGCAAGGCCTGCGGCAAAATTCTGGATGACCTAGGCTGCCGGGAATACGTTCAGCAGCCATCGGTTCTGGAACTGTTGTCTCGGTCACTTCGGCAGCGGGGGGTGGAGAAGGTTGCGTCGTAGCTGGAACTGCGGGCAAAGGTTGCAAATTTGCTGCGTGCCCCAACACCTCTGCGAGGTACCTGTCCTGGGTGCTCTCGACTGCGACCTTCAATCTCGGTGGGACGCTTCTCGGGCGGGTCGGCGAAGGCGTGCGCTCCTCTACCTCGATGAAAGTGAACTTGTTCTTCAGGACCCACGCCATCGGGTGCTGACGTGATCGACCGGCAAGAATTGCGAGGATGCGTGCTGGTGGCAAACCGAATTGGTGCTTGAGCCAAATGATTTGGGTTTAGGGTTCAATCGCAATTGAGGAAGATGTCGCCCTTTCTGTTCGGATCCACAGGCGCAAAAGATGAACTCCGCACACGTCTTGTATCTATTCAAACACCGGAATCTAGGACTTTCTCAACGATGCGACATTTTCATCCAAGCTGGCCTGAGGATAACAGCGCTTGCCGGAAAGCTCCATCAATTCAGCCACGAGTGGTTGTCAACTTGTAAACGGTGCCCCTGGATGTTACAGATGCACGAAGGACCGGGAAGAATAGTGCGTGCTAGCCCGGAGAACTATTTCAAAAAGGTCCTTATTCCCCTTTAAAAATTACACGGACGCTCATCCAGAAAGCGCAAAGGCAAAGGAACTTCTGAGGCAAGCTAGACTGGCAAGGCACTGCGCAGTGAGGGTGCAGAACCGGCGCGCGGTCTTGGAGGTAGTGCATCGTCTGCATGTGATTTGCTTCAGACAGACTATCGGCATCAGCTTTCGCACTCCACACAACACGTCACCATGAAATCGTGCCTGCTGATCCGGTTGTTTCTGCTTCAAATCCGAACCACGACGACCTGAATCATGGAGGAGCTTTCGCATGCACTTTGTGCCCGATCGCAGAAAGAGCGTGGCCATTGAGAAGTCTGTTCGAGCACATACACTTTACTCAGGCTTGGCGCTGGAAGATCACCAGAAAGACTGTGGCATTGCAGTGCTTGAGAAACTCTATCATTACACCATGGCATCTACCAGTCATGGATGGCTTACGAAGCGCAACAATACAGGTCTTGGCCTGGACTGCGATGGGCTTCCATTCTTGCTCAATGGCGAAAACTCGCCACGCAGATGTCTGGCTTGGAACCTCTCACGTCAGCACAGGGATAGCTTCCAAAACACCCTCAGCTCAAGGCCAACAACTTCTCACTGCACATATCGGAAAACGAATGTACTGTAGCTGGTACCCAGCGAGAGCCTGATACGCCTAGATTTAGAAGGCACCTTAGAGGTCTTACTGCTTTGACTGAATGTATATACTTTCAGAGGGTACTGGGATCTCTGGGAAGCGCAGATCGAGAACACGGTTTGACGATCTTTTACGGCTTCATGCTACCTCATATCGACATGATGCTCGCTGTTGCTGTCAATTGACATTCGGGTTCTAACATCAACAAAATTCGAACTATTACGATTGGAATTATATATACCTAACATGTGCGGAAGACTCCCTGTTATCTACCCCTAAGGGTCCAAGTACTCATAATTTAAGGACTTTGGGGCCTTTATGGGTACCCAAACCATAGATAAGGACTACTTGGACCCTTAGGGTACGGCGTTCTGGACCGTCAGCGCTTGTTGCAGCCAGCAGCCGACTCTGTCGCTCACGCAGTCGTGTCAGCTCTTTCTGCTGGGCCTGGTGCATCTTTAGAGTTTGCCCATAGGCCCCTAAGTAGCTCCTTTTTATGGTTCATATTTGGAATCCTATAAGGCCATCCCAAAAAGGAACTACAGGCCCCTAGGCCCCTAAGTAGCTCCTTTTTGGGATTACCTTTTTGGATTCTAAGTATATGAACCATAAAAAGGAACTACTTAGGGGCCTATGGGTAGAGAGCTTAGGCTTCAGGCCAAGGCGTTTTACCCACCCGCGCATCTGACAAAGTCGCACCGCAGGGTAGTGGTTTAGGGGATATGGTGTAGGGATACGGTGACAAGTCGGATGAACCCAATTACGATTATTACCTAATCTCAGAGTTCCCGAACCGGCTGCGAGGAACCACAAAGAGTGCTTAGTTGCATGAAACCACGTGCAGGAACCACCGCTGGAAGGAAGGAAGCTAACGTGCGTTGACAAACTGCCCCTCCCGGCTGCTTCATTCGGGGGCATAAACTGGGATGGGATTCAATCTTAAGTAAGTAAACTTCCTGCGCGCGGTCGGCGAATTCCTGGATATCCATTATACAATGACCCCCTGAAAATCCCATCTCTGGTCCTCCGACAACCGCCGACCAACACCACAGTCCTGCTCAGCTCAAGCAGGGCCAATCCAGGCGGCGAAAGTGCTTTCAGCATCTCCCGCTATATCGTGCTCTAGTTGCTCTTGTTTCCAATGCAGTCAATGGTGCAAGAATGTGAAGTCACCCGTGGTGTAATGATTGCAGCATACCTATGCATGCATGATAGTCTGCCGGATGCGTCCTTCTTCAGCACAGCTTCTACCGTTTTCGCGGCGCTCATGCAAGATGAGATGCGATCGTCGGTGCAATTTCCTGGTCGAAGAACGGAACAAACTTGGGACAGGTGTCCAGAGGGCGGGGGGCAAATTTCGGCATCAACGCAGGCTCACGGACACGTCGTAAGTTAATCTGAACCTCTCTGAGTCGGCCTGGGCTTATGCTCCGACATGTGCGTCCACCTACAATGGGTTGCCAAGAAGCTATGAGAAAGAGTCGCACCATCCAGAATTGCCCTGACTCGCGCAATTCTGCTGCAATCACCTGCAGATTTGAGTTATGAATGCATGATTTCGATCAGAGCGGCTTGCTGTCCTGAAGACATGGCCTCCAAAAATCTCTGCCAGGCGTTGCCGTCCAGGGTCCGGCTCTGTAAGAAGGCCCAGCATGAAGTCCTGCAAATTACAAACGTCTTTGATCCCGATTTGCTGCCGTTTGCATATTACCAACCTTGACCTACAGCACTTATGTCTGCAGGCGTCCCTCGCGCATTCCAAGCTCACCAGCAAATTGTGCTCTGGGTTGGCCAACCTCGGTTATTCGTCCGAGGTGGTTAACTTAACTTTGTTTTCATCCGCCTTTTCCGCGTTGAACTTTGTTGTTTGCTGGTAGAGTCCTGCATGTATGTATTCATGCTTAATACACGCACACACACACACACACACGCAGACTAGGCATGTGCACATGACCATTCACATAATTATGGTTTCAACTTACATACACAAACACACACACACACTATATATATATATATACACAGGAATTATCTCCATGTGTGGGTATTTGCAGACAGGCAGGCGGACAGACAAACACGCGTACCCCTCGCATCTACAGTGTCACGTGCAAACGCACACAGTCTTGTTACCTATACTGAGGCCGAGGCATACGACAGGAAACGCACGCGACGTCCAAGACATGTAACACACACACACGTATATCTATGTACATATAAAGCATATTCACACATATATATATATGTATATATTACATATACACATACATATCATGGATTGCGCGCAACCTGTTTCGTCAGCACAAACACACTAGCATCATTAGACTTGACGTGACAAAGGCAGCCTGAGGTGGAAGCTTGACAGTGCTGCCACGAGCAGTGTTCACTTGTCGCCATGCAACCTGTAAATCTTCTGCCGCTCAATTCCCAAAGGGTCCTAGGTACTGTTATGGGGGATACTTTCCCAAATCATAATAGTAATTCCTATTTTAGAAACCCTACATTCTACTACAAAGGTACTTTGGACCCTTTGGGATTGTCTATAACATGAAACGGCATGTAGTTCACTTGACATACAGACACACCGCCGGTCGCGCCTCCATCGTTTGCAAAATGTGATCCATGCCTTCCGACGTCCTGCTGACGTGCAAACGTGAACATCACAGAAGGCCACCTTGCCACCAAGGCTGGGGACATGACAACAAGGCCTAAGTACTGTTGATGATAGAAATCCTGCATTACCTTAAGGCCAAACTATGGAAATTATGGTATATACGGTATATTCCTTATTATGGGTAATGCAGGATTTATATCATCAACCGTATGGCAGCATACGCAAGAAAAACCCGCCTTGGTGGATCCTCAAGCCCAGCATCGCGACGTATGAGAAGGCTCAACCTGGGAGGTCTAGGTTCGCAGGAACCACGGCCAAGGCTGCTCAAACCTGGGCACGAAGCATCTTGAGCATTCGGAGCATTCGCACCCGTACATTGAGGCATGCGTGTACGGAGTCTCGAAGGTATGTCAACCTTTTGAGGCACTGGCTGTTTGAACGAGTGCCGCATTTGCTCTTCGGCACAGCATTGCCGTGCCACGTTGCCGGCTCCAGCATCCAAGCGCTACATGGCAACGGCAACAACAGCCGCCCACGAAGGAGCACATGCCCCCACTAAAACTGCCTAAGCAGTTTTGGAAGCCATGTTTCAGCTCTCGCAGCCGAAAGCGATCATGAGGTCACATATGTTATCCCTCAGGAGACAATGCCTCAATGTGTCGAACTTATTTTTCAAGCCTGTGCAAAGTTGAACTTGACAAGGCCAGTACCTATCTGTCTGCGATCTCATCTCTCGCTCGGGGTCGTTTTTTTCTTTGCCGCCCTTTCTCGTCCCCCTTTCCTTATCACTCGATGTCTCTGCTTAGGGGTTGCTATCTACTTCCCATCGCGACTTGCAGAGGCTTCGGTCAAGGTACCAAGATGTTGAACACCTTTGAAATGAATCATCGGATTGCCGCATGTGGGAGGAAGCGGGGATTTGAAAACGTATGATCCTATCATTGGACGGCAAAATTCGCAGCCGCATGCGGCTGACAATGGCTCCGGCATGATGCCTGCCCTCTTAGGGGTGCCGTCGTCTTCCCTGATGTTGGCACCAAAAGCAACGAATGAGGTCCTCGTATAAACTTGTATAAACCCCAAATGCCCTATTTGTGATAGACCCTTATAGAACCCAGAATGCTAGGTCTTCCCTGATGTTGGGAGATCCTGAACTCCCAGAACTAAACTCCCATGCCCGAAGGTGGTAGACTTCTAGAGAACCCAGTATGCGAGGACCCTGTTGGATCTCGGCTGGCAGGGTTTAGGGCTTAGGGGGCTTATTGCAGGTACATGGAGGATCCAGGTAGAAAACTGCAATGCATTCTCGCAGCTGTCCACTCGCAACCGGACATTTCGACCGCTTTTCTCGCGCAGGAACGCCTGAACAGTCTTGGACAAGGATGGCCTTTGGCGGAACACTTTCAGTCAGATTGCTTCTTGACACCGATTGCAGGGAGGTTCTCGTCGCTTGGCCACTTCCATGCGTCCGAGGGAGATGAACGATCTATCGCGTGTTGTGCCACCTGCATGGCTAAAGCGACAATGTTGTCGTGGTCCTGGGCTGCTCCGCTAACCATACACATCACGCTTCTTTCACTATACGGTCCATCATAAGAAACAACAACGGGAGACAGAACGCATCTTCCAAAATGATCTAGGGTCGTCAAGTCCGTCGATAAGCTTCTGGGGAATGCCTTTGAGGCCAACGTGGGCCCCCAGGAAAGCACCAACGAGGCTGGTGCGCATGGTGTTCTGTCCTGGGAAACGTTGAGTTCCGCAAGCTTGAAAAAGGCGCAATTTTCGCAAGAATCTCCCCCTAAAGCTAAACGTGCCCCTCCCACCCCAATGTCAAATGTGAGCAACAAGGGGTGGGGTGTGTCTCCAATGGAGGTACCAGCAGCAGCAGCAGCAGCAGCAGCAGCAGCAGTGGGAATAGTAGTTGGTGAGGACGCCCAAGCCCTAGACCCTAAAATCCTAAAACCCTCAGTGCTAGATCTTAATCCCAAAACCTTACACCCGAAGCCTTAGACGCTAAACCCCTAAAACCCGAAGCCCTAAGCCCTGCACCTCAACCTTTGCAGCCCGAAACAGGCCTCCGCCGTTCAGGCTACAGAGGACGGCCTTCTCGAAGTCGTCCGGGTAACGCGCGGCGCAGTAATAAGCCGACCCCAGAACGCCATAGAAGGCCTCGGGATGCCAAGAGCTTTCGGATTCGACAAGGACTACCTGGACCCCAAAAGTGTGTAGAAGAATAGCCTCTTTTGTAAGTGTTGGGCTATTATTTTACCTACTTTTGGGGAGTCTAGGTACGGTTCGGAATTAGGATTTAGGGATGATAGGGGCTTGGGCTCAGAGAGTTAAGCTTTCAGGTTCACGTAGGCTTGCTTGAACCTTTCCCTCCCAAAAAAACTGCAGAAGTTCAAGGCTGCCCGTAGCAACAAGGAAAGCCCCTAATTCTGAATGCCCCTACATGAAGAGCCCCTGGAACAGCAACCTAAACTCTAAACCCTGAACCCTAATTCAATCCTATCAACCCTAAACGGCAGAACCCCAAACCCTAGACCCCCAAACCCAGAACTCCAAACGCACTTCCAAGTTACACAAAACTTGCCGTAGAGCTCCACGCCGCGGTGGGGAGGCTCGATGCCTTTAGCTTGACTTTCGCCTGTGAGCCTCTTACTAACCCTCCCCCCTGAATAAAGATTGCTTTATACTGTAGTGGGGATATTGGGGATATTGAATATTAGGGGCCTGACCCTCATTTTGTCAGGGGCTCGCTTGGCATGTGCATGTAAGCTTCCACTTTGGCTTCCAGGTTTCGGTTGTTTGGGTTGGGTTAGGGTAGAGTCACGGGGTTACGGTCTGGCGAGATGCCTTGGGCACAATTCTGGACGCCCTCGGCGAGCATCCCGTACCAAAGCAGGGAGTCCTTGCTTGTCCCCCAACGGAAGGAAAACATGCATTTTATCTCTGACACACATATTCCTCAAAATGTCATTGGCTACGTGATGAAGTCAAAAACAGGAGAAAACAAGCATGCAAGACCATGGGCTTCAGGATGCAAGGCTTACACTAAGGGCGTGGGGCAGTTCAGTCTTCTGAGCTTCCAGCATCTGAGAAAGCGCAGATACCCTTGGTTGTTTCATATAGACCCTTACGAAGGACAGCTACCTTGACACCCCTTCCAGGCTTCAAAACACGGAAAAACGAACACTAAACAGATGAAAGAAACAACAAGACAAACATAGTGGGTTGTATAGCCGGCAACGAGAAATGCACCTCATTCGCCCAAAATAACCGAGCGCCCGGGTCTAGGGCCGTTCTGCCTCAAGGCTGTAGTGATCATGAGTGGCCCTCAAAAATCTCGGGGGCTCCCCAAGGAACCACAAGTTCTGAACAATAGGGTTCAGCGTTTAGGGAAGTTTAGGGTATAACGGCCTGGCCGAGGATCAGGTTCTGTGTAGTCGCCGTAGTCCTCGTCATGGTCTTTGTCGCTGTGGACGGATGAAAAGGGCAATGGGTCACCAGCTTGTGTGTACATTCTCCTTGGTGCCGTGGCCGAAGGAAAACCCGAAGGTACCACACATTTGGACTGTTGAACAAGTAGCCGTAGCCAAGAAGAGGTGTATTTGCTTGCAAGGAAAGTTTCCACGAGAGCCCTTTGTCCAGGGGCAAGCCCTGAATGATCCCAGCTAGCAGGACGGCAAAGGCCACTGAGTGTGCCTGCACGCTACTGTCGCCAGTGAAAGCCTTGGAGTGCGCCTGGACTTGGCAGCACATAGCCTTGATTGCCGTGGACCACGTGGCAACGAAATGCTGGTGTCAGGCGCGACCGGAAAGCTCATACGTGCTCGCCATGATAAGTTCTAGCAAGCAGCGCGTGGGCTGAGGAAGTAAGACGAGGCAATGAGAGCTCCCCGAACGATGGTATCCGGTGTATCACTGCGCGGAAGCACGCATTCCACCCATGGCTTGTTGTGCACGACGCGCGCTTTGTAGAAATCGCAGATCGTCTTGTCCTGAACTTCCCATTCTGATTCATTCTGTTAGCTTCAGTGCGCGTTGATTGAACCCCAACCAACATGTTAATGCTGACAGTGTTGCCTGCAGCCATGTGCTCTGGTGGTGGTGGTGGTGGTGGTGGTGGTGGGCGCCGGCGGCGGCGGTGGTGGTGGTGGGGGTGGGGGTGGCGGGGGTGGCGGTGGCGGTGGCGGTGGCGGTGCGTGGTGGGCGTGGGGGGCGGGGGGGGTGGTGGTGGCGGTTTGCGTGGCAGCGGTGGCGGTGGTGGTGGTGGTTGGGTTGAGAGGGGGTGGGGTGGCTATAGCAAAATCACACTCCTCATAAAGGAGCAGCAGAAAGGGCTCTTGTTGCTATGCTCCACCTTCTGCAAATTACTGTTGGGAAGATAGCTTCAATGCTGTCCTTGGAGTCCCCGTCCTACCCCATGAGCAGCAAAGCGGCCGTCCAGCCGTACTTGCCACCCTGGCGCGTCCCGTCCATCGTGTCCTCACGCAGGATCTCTTTCTCAAAACGATCGTGGAAATCCGCTTGATCCAGGCAGCCCTTACCTCGGACCAAGGGCGTTTCTGAGGAAGCGTGCCAACAACTGCCGCGGTTCGCGCAGAGGAGCAAGCAAACAGACCCTGGGCTTGATTGCTCTTGATCCAGAAAGCAACTTGTCTGAAAAAGATTTGAGGATCCCTCCAAAGAAAGGGTGCCAATGTCGATGGGCTTCAAGAAAATGTTCCTGAACGACCACGGTACTGGCAAGGCTCTGCAGCAGCAGCTTTGTTACCTGTGACATGGTTGGCCGTTTGCATGGCTTGTTTGAAGCTATTCCGCCGAGTCGCCACGATTGTGCAGAGGCTGTGCTATGTAGAATTTCTAGCAAGATCACAGACGCGAGAGGTTCGGCTTTTATTGGGCCCTCCAAAGCAAAGCTGCCGAAGATCTTCCTGTAAGGCCGAAGCAATACAAAAACAACCCCGTGGGTCAGGGTCTTCAGCCAGGACACCTCACCTTGCTGTTCAAGCTGCCCTGCTTTCAATTGCCCTTTGCCCGGTGCGTCGCGGGTCCCTGAGCACGCAGGCTCATCCAAATTCCCTAAACCCTTAAACAGAAGTGGCCGGCTTGATTCAAGCTGCTTTCCTTGATTGCCAAGGGTTGTCAACGAAAGTTGCGCAGGGGGTATTTAGGGCTGAAGGACTTCAATTTTTGAGGCGGCGTGCTGCCCTGCAAAGATTAGGCTGCCCTACATCCTGAACTCCAATACTACCTGTCTGATTGTTATACATTGTACAATTACATATTCCGAATACTCAATACGTCGAATGCAGGTTTTCAATTATTGACAGGAAAGGAATCGTCGCAATTGGCAAAAAGAGTCGCAGGTCCGGCCTGAATGGAAAGAGCCGGGCAAAGGGTCCAGGTAGCCGGTTACAAAGCCCCGGTCCTGCAAGGAGCAGTGCTGAGTCCAACTAGAATTGAATGTAGAAATTAGGGATGTGAGGATGTAAGGGCTTCGACTCACACACTCGCAAAGCAGGCACGGCTCACAGCGTCCGGGATTGGGGTTTAGGGTGTAAGAGTACTTTAAGATTCAAGAATTTAAAGGGTTCCCAGCGGTTTAGGCTCAAGTTGATGGTGTCAGCTTCGTGTTTGCCTCCTATTTCGCAAAAACAAGTTTCGGTGCTCACACTCGGACAATCCAAGCGAGGGCGATCCCGAAAAAGAAACCCTTGGTATCGTCCCGCAGAAGATCCCCGTCCAGGTTGTCAGATGTCCTGGTTCTGTGTGTGCATTTACGGTTGCAAAATGTCTCAATGCAAAACCGCCATCCTTGCATTATCTCATGACAACATATTTTGCGCGGAGGTTTGCTGATTTGGGGATCCCCTTTAGCTATGGAACAAAACGAAGCGTAACTTAACCTCATAAATTTAATCCGGACTTCATCTGCGACCTCGTGTGCACGCAGTACGCATTACTTGAATTATCGACGTATAAGGAACCCCTGAGGCTGTCTCCGGATTGTGCTTTATGGTGAAAGCCCCAAGGACTCATGCATCGAGATTTTCGTGGAGTCTTAAGCCCTGGATGGTCGAATCGTGGGACACAAGCTCCTTCTCTAGCTTATCCAGGTCGTATTGCCAATGTACACCAACCTCGGCTGACTCAGGACCCATTTCCCACAATGCCATGAAGTTCCTTACTTTTTGGTGAGTAATTACATGATGTTTGTAAGAGAGATATCGCAATGTGGGGTCTCGGGACAGCCTGCAACCAATAACGCCGACGGCTGCAAGTACAGAAGCACTCCGACTTAAACTTTCGAGTCTAGATGCATTGCAAAATGCTACAAGGTGGTCCCCTCAAAAAATGACCGATGTAGTAGGACCCCAGTATTATTATCATCATCCCTTGCGGACAACTGGAAGTTCGGGGCTGCGATAGCTTCTCGCCTTCAAGTAGCAGTGCGTTACCTTTTGCTCGGATTTGTCTTCCTTGCACCGGTGTGTAACACACCCCGCCCGGAAGAACAAAACCCTCTAGGCCGATCGTCAAGCTCGGCTTTCCAGTTGCAAATAAATGGATATCTCCACCATCTTTTGGGGGGTTTGGTGAACGTGTGCATTACTAGGTGTCGGGAGGTGTTACCAAAGGAAGGTTCTTGTTTGCTTGGGGTATGCCCTCTGCAGAAGATTTGGGCCGGGCAACGCCCAAGGCATCCCCGATGAAAACCCCGAGAATGGCTCCAGCGGCGCGATCCACAAGAACTTTGGGATCTGTTTCCATCCGAAAGAAGCAATACCCTCGATGGGAACTGGGTTTGAGCCCAAGCTTGCGAACATCGACACAGGGATGCGGCCAAGCATGTTACAATACGGCTTCAATACGGGATGCCCGTGGGGTGGCCCTGGGCGTGGCCGCCGCGGGCGAGGGCGTGGGCCCCACCCCGCCGCCGCTGCAGTACCCGAACCCCCTGTTGCTACCACGCCCGAAGCCCGTCCCGAGGTGAGGCCGCAGCAAGCGCATTCCAGCCCGACCGGCACACGACGCCAGCAGGTCAACGCTGCAGCTGAAGCCGGCATGCGGCTCGGCCTGGCCGCTCTTGATGCGATAGACCTCCAGTCCACCTGCCGGCAGCGCGTCCTTACGCTGCAGTCGGCCCTCCGCGCCGCACTGCGACTTGCTGTGCACCCTGCACGTGATGGCGACGAAGCGCGCGGATGGAAGCTGTTCTGCCTGGCGCCTCGTATGCTGCTTTTCCGCGCGCCTGGCGAAACCCGGGTGCCGCCCGAAGAGCTCGACCGACGCTGCGCCTGCTTCAACGCCGGCAGTTGGGGTGCGCTGTTGCATGAAGCCGCCGTCGCGGCCGCACCAGGCGCCGAACGCGCGACACGGTGACACAACCGGCGACGCTGCGCGGGCCAGACGCGCAACGTCTCTCGTCCACCTCGGTGAGCTCTCCGCCGCGGCCCGTGCCCTCACTGCTGAGCCCCTCGCACCCGGCACGCCCGACACCCTCGCCGAGCTTCGCGACCCTGAAAGGCGACCACCCGCCCCCTATGCACCTCTGCCAGAGGCCGCACTCCGGTACGTGCCCGAGGAGCACTGCCCTCTACCCTTGCCGGCTTTCCTTGACGGTTTGCGTGCTGCCCCGCGCGGCTCTGCTGCTGGACCCTCCGGCGCCACCAACGAGCATCTCCGCATTCTCCTCGACAATGAGGAGGATGCCCAGTTGCTGCACGGCGCCGCCCTTCGGCTTGCCCGTGCGGAACTCTCCCCTGCAGTGCTCGAGGGTCTTCGGGTCGGCCGCCTGGTCGCTCTCCGAAAGCCCAATGGAAGGGTCCGAGCCCTCGTTGTCGGTGATGCCTTCCGGCGACTTGTTGGTCGCGTGCTCGCAAGGCACTTCGCACCGCAGTTCCAGGAGGCGTGCATGCCGCACCAGTATATGGCCTCAGCACCCGCACTGGAACAGAGGCCGTCAGCCGGTTACGCCGCGCTGCCACCGAAGCATGCCCGCGCGCCACCATCCTCTCAGTTGATGCCCGACGCGAGCTCCACCCGCTCCTTCCCTTCGCTCGGCAGGTCTACTCTTCTCCGAGCGTCTACACGGGGTGCGATGACGACGGGTGCCCGCATGAGGTGAGCCAGGGCGAGGGCGGCGAACAAGGCGACCCCCTGATGCCCGCCTTTTACGCCTTGGCGCAGCATGACGCGATCTGCGACTTGCAGCGGCAGCTTCGTGATGGTGAGGCTGTCTTCGCCTTCCGCGATGACGTCTACATCGTCGCCTTGCCTGAAAGGACTCGTGCCCTGTACGATGCCCTCAGCACCGCTCTGTGGGACCGAGCACGAATCCGTCTCCACAAAGGCAAGACTCGCATCTGGAATGCTGCCGGGGAAGAGCCGCCTGCTGTCGCCGACCTCGGAGGTGACGCTCACGAGCCGGTCTGGGTCGGAGACTGGTCCCTCCCACCCGAACGTCAAGGTCTCACCGTGCTGGGATCTGCTCTCGGCCACGACGCTTTTGTTGCCCATCACCTCCAGAGCAAGCGCGCTGAGCATGACCGCCTCTTGCAGCGCATCCCTCACCTTGATGACCTGCAGGCCGCATGGCTGCTGCTCCAATCCTGCACAGCCCCCCGAGCTAACTACCTGCTGCGCATACTGCCCCCACACCTGACAGCCACTTCCGCAACAGACCACGACGCGGCCATGCCTTGCCAGCTTGCTGGAGCTTGACGCCCCCCTGACCCCCTCCACAGTACGGGCAGCCCAACTCCCGCAACGGTTCGGTGGGCTTGGCCTGCGCTGCGCCAGCTCCGACCGCTATACGCGGCTCACTGGGCGTCTAGGTGCGACACCCTCCCTGTCGTCCAG